TCTTTGTTTGGGACTCTTCATAAATATTTATTTTTTATTTATTAATCTGAACACATAAATATTGGTACAAGTGGGGCACCAAATATATATGCGCCACACAAAACAATCAGAATGGGAAGAGAAAAAATAACAATAACGACCACATAATTTCGAATAAATTGAGCATTGGGTTCATTGTTACAAATATATTATTTTTATTAATAACGACCACAGATTAGTATAAGGTAGTGTAATAATAATAATAATAATAATAATAATAATAATAATAATAATAATAATAATAATAATAATAATAATAATAATAATAATAACAATAATAATAATAATAACAATAACAATAATAATAATAATAATAAATGTGAGTTGTTTGACTAATAATCGAAGTGTGAATAGAATTTTCAGTAAATATTGGCATTTTCAGTTTATTTGTGTGTGGGCTGTGATACTCCTCGGGTGCCCAGACCGAAGCAGGTGGTTTTGTTGGGGGGCCACACCCTGAGCCTTTGACCCAAAGGTCTGATCCATAAGGCAGTGGAGCATCGTGAGGAGATGCAGTTCCATGGTAGCAGGTGACGAACACTTGGTCCATACGCCATTTGTTCCGTCAGGATACTGGAGCCCATATACACTAATGGTTTGGAATCCGGTTAAGGCGCTGGACAGTCGCCTCTCGTCCTCTCATTTTCGTAAACACCCCCGCCACGAGAAGGCAGTGAGTAGGACTTTCCTGGCAGAGTCTGTATACGCGTGGCCGTGTGAGAGCATTTCAAGAGGGAGTGTGGGACCACCCCACTCTCGGCCATATCAGGGCATTTCGGGGCGGGAACTACGTGGAAGAAAACTGAGTAATAGGTCCGTAACAAATTAACAGTAATTTATGGAAGTTGCAACATAAAAGATTAGTTTATGCACTCATCAAAGGCTGACTAACGGGAGAATATGAGAAAACAATAATCTAAGTGCCCAATAATTATACAACTAACCCTTCGTACGACAATCCCAAAAGTTACAACTTTCGCTATAGCCGCTCAATTATAACAGTTGACGCCTCAAAACTGACCTGAAACTCAATTACGTAATATGAATCTAGCTCTAACAATGAACCAATTCTATTACCGATTCCCGGATAATTTACTCATGATAATGTTAGTACTTATATCCTGGTTTGTGGATATTCAAGTGTACCCATAAATAATATTCCTACTAGATTTCTGTTATGAAGTTCTTATTCTCATATATTTGTTACTTGGAATCTTAAAACAAAATCTCGCACAATAGCCATATTATTCAGTCCCCAGCACACAGTAGATGACAGTACCAACAGGATACGTTAAAAGACAACTGAATAAAATACCACTCTTACAATGGTATTATAAGTAGCATTCGTCAAAGAATGATCTCAGTTTGGATACCATGAGGCGCTAGAGGTGTTCTAACCTCGCATGAAACTCACCAGCAGTGGATATATACACCCCTCCCCAGGAGTCCAATTCAAAACCTGCGAGTTTCCCAGAGAGCCTTTAATTAAAAGAGCACTATGTTGGTATCCAATGGTACACACTTTCAATTCTAATCAATTAGTAATATTATCAGACGGCCATTCATTGGTGACTTTTTTGGCCCCGCCATTTTTGAAATCCACTGATCCTGACTAGTGAATCGAAGATAAGGCTCAGCATAAAACCTTATACGACTACTTCCAGATATCATTAAGACTGATACCTTTAAGATAACGTAATCACATTCATTGTCGTACTGAAATATGAACGTTTCCGTTTAACAAAGAGATCGAATAGAGTAGTTATTCGGTTTTATGTTGGAGTTTAGTAGTAAAAAACTCAAAGAAACAATCCAGATCTCTAACTTCTTTCCAAAGGTAATAAGATAGATATATTCTCGGAAGATTTTTGAGTTGTCACTGATAATTATGTATAGATTCATACCATGATATCCTAATTGTAATTCGTCCCACCTGTTTTTCCAGTGACCTACTTGCTAATATTTTCTTATTTAGCGTAATACGAAATCTTTTATGCAAACCTGGAGCAGCCTCTTTACTTTGTATTTGTAAGATGATTACTTGCTTTCAAAACGCAAGAACCACCGTTACTTGAGACAAGTTATTCAAAATCACATACTGTCTACTACATGATACATTTACGTCAGCCAGGTAATTATTAGCTATTTAGATCACTTCAGGCGATGTCTGGACGTTAAGAGACTGAACCGTTTGGATACTGATCCAACAAATGCTTGTTTACACCTAATTGTATTAATCTTTACATTTCATTGCTTTTCGGTATAAATACGTGGATTGGTGTATAAGTATATCGGCCTTGCGTTTACATAGCAATCTTTGAATCAACTAAGCGATTTGACGGCACCACTTGTATTTGCTTCCGAATTTTAAAGACATTTCGAGAAAATGGGTAGTTTGACCATGTCCTCATGATCAACTTGCCACACATACCTAAACAATTTCAAGACCTATGTTTAGCGGAGATTGCTACAATGTGTTGAGGGGATTAAACCCAAAACAACCTTAGGCCAGATGCCGTTAGAATTCAGGAAACACTAGATAGCCGCTTCGTCCTAGCATAGGACTCCTCGAGTGTCGCCTGTGACCCCCTCTCCAGTGAATGTATTCAAGATCTACAGGCCTCGAGGCGAACGCCTAAACATTCGATTAATGAAACAAAATCTCACTTCTAATCATTCAGTGATATAAACCGACGATCATCTAATGTCATTGATAATGACTGTATCACTCCAACATGTCTGGATTCTACTGGCTATTTTTTGCTAAAACTTAAAGTACTCATCTGTAAGTTACAAGAGTTGCTGGGTTACACTCCTGATTTTAATTTCTGTGGTCCAGTATTAACTACATCTGTAGAGGACGCGTCATTTCTTACATTTCTGAATGTAATGAAGTCCAAGCTAATTACTATGTACTCCGCACCACATTCCTGTTATCTTCACTAACGACTTTTATGCATGTCATAGATTTTGTACGCGACCAAACAGTCTTATGTACTAAAAAATCCAAATATATTGGTCTGGACACCTATATGTGACTGTGTTTTTACCTGTTGTTAATCACTAGATATCGTTGAGTCATATCATGAAGCCGAAAAAAAAATGTATGCCACTGGATGCCAATTAGGTGAATTAGTGTTCAAAGCCTCTCAAAGAGACTTGTAGGTTCTAAATTTGGTGCCTGAGCGGGTTATGGGTCTCCACTTATAAGGATGAAACCAGAACAAAACAGTGAATCTGTTCTTTACGGTCTTTAATGGTAGCACAACCTAAGTCAATCTGTGACGAATACCACTCAAAAATCAAACAAATCCCTAATAAACCCCCTTTACTAAACATAAGTCGAAATAATGGTTAGTGTATAATCCGGATATTTTATTTTCTAAATAGTTGTCAATTTCCCATAAATAAAACATGAAATTTCTTAGATTTATCTGCAGAAACTTTAATGTAAATAAAAAAAACTGCATATTGTTTTGTTTTACACGTAGAAACGTCATAATAAGAACCAACTGATGGTTCGGGGTGTACTATAAGCTGACACTACAGTAATTAAACACGAACACAAGTTAGGAAGTAAAGCACCGATGCAACAGAAGGGGGAAACTTAGGCAGTATTATGCCTATGCAATCTACGCCTTATAATCATGACTATAATCATACCGAAACATCGACAACCAATTTAAACATAAATGTGGGATTGTCTGGTATGTTTAATGATAAAAAGTAATTTTGAGGCTTTGTAGCCTATGTACTTGGATCCAAGCTTTTTTTAGCGAGGTACAAGGGAGCTACTTAACTCCCGTAACCGGGGAGATCTGTAAATGGTCAACTTAGTAATTAAAAATGGGGTATTTAGTTATGCGATAAAAACAGGATACGAAGACCAATATTTTTACCTGCAAAAACAATCTATATAAATAAAACTATTAAATACTTTACTTATGCCTACTTATAGTTCAAACTAGAATGATGAGCAGAGCATAAAGAATGTCTCGTCCTTCATGAATGCATCGAGGTTAGTCAGTTATGACGGACACAGAGCCTGGTACAAATCCCAGTGGGTCCACATCTCATGACCAAATCAGCACGGCGAAGTGGAAATCATGAAAGACCCGAAATAATGGTATTATCATTGATAATGAGAAGAGCTAAATACTGAAGGATATAGCTTTTAAAGGAATGGTACTGATAGACAAAAAGTACGAGAAGACATGGATGAGAAGAGTAAATACATTTACGCAACCAAAATTTATTCTCAGTCAGTCAGTAACAACGCAGAACTTCGTACGTACGTACATCAGTTCGAGTTGCCATGCTGCATTAGCACACAGATACAATTATCGATTCAAATCCCGTAGTGGTAAATGTAGTAAGAGTATAAGCAGTAATTCTAAGCCATGTTACACATTATCTTTGACAACTGCTAGCAGTTTTCTTGAGGACTTTAATAAGATAGCTTGAACTTACTAACACGGCTGTTTGGCAATCCGTTTTTTTATAGTCTAATGTTATATGCTACATGAATCACGTTGTCATAAAACAACGCATCAGGGGGTGCGACTCTAACTTCGTGAATTAACGATGTCCGTTAAGTTATAAAAAAAAATCAAAAAACACTGTTTTTAGGTCATGTTGTGATTAGCGAAAAAAAGTTTTCATGGTAAAATCTTAATGCTGAAAGACAAGGGTCCTCCATTCTTTTAGAAGGCCGATAAGACTACACCGGAAACTCGGTCGGACAGCCAGTTAGCCCATTAATAGGTTTTCGACATTTCCATTTCAGAACTTTGGATAATCGAACTGTAGCCAAGATTGTATTGTCGATATGGTTGAAAAGCAGACTACGACAATGGGCTGAGAATTTCTTATTCTATGCAACGGCTTAAAAGCTTTACGATGAATTGCCTTTTGTAAGCTGAATGCGAAAACCCTGTATACATATGTATCTATCAGACTACTTTGAGAGCTAAATTCATTTATTGTTGAACAAACAGTAAGGGAAGCAAACGAGATTTTACTAGTCACAGATTGAGGACGTAGATCTAAACTAATAAAACAAACTGTCATTCATAAATATCACTGGAAATGAACATGGAAAGTCAAATGTCATCAGAAGTTGGGGTCTTTAAATGCGCTGTACGGCAGAGTGGTCATTGGCTCCATTTTCTTTACCTCTCTAACTTTTTTCATCATAACAGCTCTTTTTTTCTATGAAGAGGAATTACTATAAGTAAAAAAACAACTTACAGCTTTATTATGATTCTGACATTCAAGCAAATCTTCCCAGTATATTTTGCAATGCTTGTCTGTATTTTGAAGGCCAACTCTTGCAACACAGCTTTAAGATCTGAGAAAAGTGTTCGAGATATAATTACCGGAAGAAGTCACGCTCCATGATTTGACAAAATCTTGAACTAAAAACATTCTGCATCGTGAACCATGATGTGCCCATCTGTAAGGCAGGGAAATCTAGGAAAGGGCGGTGGAGAAAGTTCCCTCCAGATGAGTAAGTTAAAGGGAACCCATGTCCTAGAACAACATTTTCACGTAGATAACAATTAGTACTAACCAGCCTCGTAAGGTTTCTCAGTTCCAAAAATTTTCCCCACAAAGTTATAAAATGGCTGAGACATGTCTGGTGTAAAGGGTATATCTCTGTTCCTTTTCTCTCTGGCTTCATTATTCAGGCGATCAAGTCTTTCCTGATCTGTTATGACAAACGGCTCATCCGCCATCAACAAGCAAGAACGGTGATCGGCCTGGCAACGCTCCTAGGCTATCGTCCACTGATGGAGATTGCGAGCACTTGAAGGTCAAACTATTGCAAAATGATTGATGCGTCACATCGACAATTCGTGAAAATTTTCAGAAGCGGTCAAATCAAGACATTTTTAGATTTGAATTGAGTTCATCCACACTATGTCTGATAACGTTCATTCTTCAAGTAACGAAGACGATGCCATCGTGATGATTCATGATATAGGACGAATCTTCAATAATATTATGTTATCTCGAAGATTTACAAGTTGGGACAATTTTGAGACCTGTTTGAAAGAAGTACATAAGGTAATATGACCTCTGTGGTTAATAATTATTTTTTTAGTATACGCATACTAAGTACGTTATGTCAGTATGCAAAAAGAACAGTGATGATCCAACTCTAAAGTACTTTTTCGTGAGATATGTCTGTACATATGGACGTAAACGCAATTCGTCAGAGTCAGATGCTTGCGTCCAGGATGTAGATGGTGATAGTAATAATCATTCTTCTGAAGAGCATACAACTTCTAACTCGCCAACACAACCTAGGCAAAGGAGACGACGTCGATCATCTACGTATGCCTTACTTCAAATGAATTTATCCTTCAGGTCGAAATATTGCCATTGTCAATCAGGATTTTGGGTCTGAGCAGTTAATGGTGAGTTAAAACTCACCTCTATTAAAACCGTGCACAACCATCCTTGCACAGAAGGATATATTTCTGTCAATCCATCGAAACGACAGTTGACCTCAAGTGAACGCTTGTATTTAAGAACGTTTCTACTGAGTAATACACCAACTCGTAGCTTACGGTATCTGGTTTCTTGGAAGTTCAATAAACAGCTTACCAAGGACGATATCGCCAGAATGCGTTCACAGTTGTACCCAGGTTGTTGAACTAACATTGTAATTAATTGAGTTTAGACACTAAAAATATCAATGACATTTTACAGCGCGTTCAAGCAAATACTGAAGTTAAAGTATTCAATGAAAATGGGAACTTGTCTATGATTTGCTTCAGCCGCAGAGAGCAAATAGCTGTTTACCACGCGTTCCCGGAGGTCATATGTATTGATTCGACTTATCAGACCAATAAAGTCGGGTAAGTAACGATTAGTAATAAATTTATCTGAAAGTTTTCCACTGTTCCAGCTAGTGATGACTGATAGTCTTGGGCAAGGGCACACTGTTATGTATGCTCTTTGTAGTCAAGAACGACGCGAAGATATCAAAAAACTATTGGAATGTTTTAAAGAGATAATGTGCGGTACTTATGCTACACGCACTTTCATTATGGATTCGGCGGCGACCGAAATTTCAGCTGTGCAGTCTACGCACAGTCATTCTAACATAATACTTTGTTCATTCCATGTCCTGAGAGCGTTTTTCAGGAAGGTATGTGTTATCTGTACAGATTATTTTCTGCTGTTCCGAAATCCTGATGTACGCAAATGCTTGGAGCACCTTGTGAAAACTAGACGGTCTGATATGTGAGCTTCGCTTTTCATAACGCACTATATCCAAATTTACTCGAAAGTACGAACATCTAAGGACGCATTTCCCACGGGCTTATGATTACATAAAAGATTACTGGATTGCCAGGAAGTCAATGTGGGCTCGCTGTTACCGGCGACATGTACTATGCCTGGGCAACCACACAAACAACCGTGTCGAAAGTGCTCATAAACACCTAAAAGAATGTCTTAGAAAAGGTGATTCCCTGCTATTGACTTTCTGAAAAATTTGGAGTAAAACATACATTGACCTACGTTTGCGTCCATATGACGCTGTAAAGTATCTTCAACGTTTTCCAATTCTTCAGGTAAGAAACATAGTTAAATGTGTCATTAATTCCAGGTTCCAATGTCATTTCGAACTCTTCTAAATGAGTCCACATCTTTTGCAGCTAAAATTGTAGCTGTAAGTTATAAACGTGTTCGAACAATTAGACACGAATTTATAGAAGGAGAATACATCCGGTGCTACGACAAGGGTATGATGTATGTTGTCGATACTTCATGTGCACGATGTGCTTGTGAGCGTTTCAATGACTACATGCTGCCCTGTGGTCATATTTTGTATGTACATTCTAAAGATCTGATTCGTGGAGGCATGTGTGTTCCTTTATCTCTATTGTTTTGTAGACTTATTTCGACATAGCAACCGGTGGACAAGAAAATATATAATGGGCCTTTTTCTTCGTGCGCTGGACAGCATCTCAATCTCCACAGGGAGTGATGATCTGCTAGAGAAGTTCACTAGCAACAACCACTCAATCCGTGCTCTTAGTGAACCTATGGCAAGTAAACTCATCCGTTCATGTCTCGAAGCTTCGGAAGACACATGCGCACAAGTGATGAGTTCAATCGGTGCTAATGATGAAGCTACAACGTCAGAATCCATTGTTAATACAGACCATAGCTATGCTCCTTGATAACTAGAAGTTCTAATATTGTAATCTCTTTAGTTTTACATAAATTCATTTATATGGCCATTGACTTATTCTTATAGCGTAACGGCAGGGAGTGTACTGTGCAGTGTTATGTGGCTGTGAGACAGGGATGTTGTTTCGCGTTCTTGTGTAATAATTACCAGTTTGGCGCACACGCGATTAGTCATACATACCGCTTACCAAATACTGCTACCTTGAACATGGTGTACCATACTAGTAGTCCGAATTTCGACCTGTCATGATAGATAAGAATTGCCGTAATTAAACGACTGGTGCGTCATAAATGAAAACGTTTATTAAAGTTTGAATCTAGCACAAATGATCCATTAATAAATAACTTCTATTTCTCACGAATTGTTCCCGTTAGGTCTGTGAACACTTGCGAAGCTAGCTGGAAATAAGATAGACAGGAAAGTTATTTCAGTATAAATGTTTACCAGAAACTAGTATAAAAACGCAAACCAGTATTCAATTACAGATCGGAAGTGCATTTAGCACACCCTTCCTTCGGGTAGTCAATCACGCTTATTTCCTTTATCTGTTGCGTTGCTTAGGAATATCTGGTTCACAGCATACTCGGATTGTATTATTTAATTCTTTGAGCATGATGCATTTCGGAAAATTAGACGATGAACATATATAAAGACTACTGTGTGAATTTTTCTTTGGATCGTCCTGTGTAACCTGCAATCCTTGATGCATATTCTATTTTAGTCCCACGTAAGTTATGAGTAATTGCCATTAACGGCATCAGCACGTAAGCTAGACAGGCCTTGGTTGATATCCGAAGATCATCACATACGATCTCACACAATTTGATCACCTTAGATCAAGATGTCTTGACTATCGAATCGTAATTTTCAGTGCTTTCCCATGACAGCTTTATACCAGTACTTATTTCTGCTATTAGGTATTTTTGCAATAATATCGGCAGCCAAAACATTGTAGCTCTACACAAGAGGTAGTAATGCTATCTCAGCTTGGTGTCTGGTAAAATCGTCACATAATTATACCTCTCCCGCATGATTATGATTTATCTCCTGCAATATAATAATTTGGTGGCCAATATATCTAACTGTAGGAGGTGATATTGACATCTTGGTATATGTTATTATCATCTATAGCATATACATAATATTTACAACACTCAGGACACCTAATGTTTTCACTATGAAGCTATTTCTGCCATAAAAGTCGAACAAAACAGTAAAAATCAGCAGAAATTGTGATAAAGACGGGAAAAACAATAAATCTTACCATGGTATCGTTAGTTGTAACGCAGTTTTGGTAGCCCTGACGACAATACAATTTTTATGACGACATATGCCTGAATCTTGCTATTTCATATAAAAATAAAAGATTTGTCTACTATCGGTGTATATCTAATTAGAAATAATTGCTAATCTGCGATGCAAACACGAAAAAACCTATATAGCAGCACCTGGATAATGAATTTTCAAGGACTTCGCGATTCCATGTAACGCAAATTGGAAAAACTCTATTTTAACTAATTATGAAAACGAAAAATAGACTTTCAAATTTATTCATAATTAATTTCGAAATTTGATTGTGCACAAAGCAGAAATGAAAAAGTAGCGCAAAAAAGTGTCGCGATACACCTGAAGCGCTGCCGACCGGCCTCCAAACCTGATAGCGAATTAACCTCCACAACCTTGAAGGGCTTGACCAACGACGGGGATCCTGTCTTTGAAGTGCTTGAGGTTCTAGGGTTCTAGCCAGGAAAGCCTGTTGACCGATTTGACATAAGGTGCGTACGTTGAAGGCTCCAATGTGTAGTTAGGAGCGAGGTTTCACTAGACCTGGGACAGTGTTTTGCTCACTAGAATCGTTGGCCGTGGTGACACTTAAGGGGAAGTCGAAAGAGGAAGTTTAGAGGTGAAAGTCGATGCAAGAGGAATAATAAGAATTGAAGAGAGAGGTTGAGTATGAATACAATGGTCTTGAGTGCTGTTAGAGGTATGAGGGCGGTTATCACTTCCCGGTTGCCCACACCGCGGAAGGGTTGTTCTGAAGGTACCTGAAAAGGAAATTGGATTAAAGGTGGCCTCAGTGACCTGAGAGCGTGATCGCAGTGTCCAAGGGACAACTGCTTGAGGTTGGTCACACACGACCTTTTTATGGGTAATTTCTGTGTTAGCTCCGTACTTGTTGAGACCTTATCGCCGGAGACGGATATCCGTGGGATAAGGCGAGGTGTGCATTTTTAGAGTCGACCTTTTCTGACCCCACCCCTCCTTGTGGGAAGGCAGCATCGCTGTCATGCTGGTTGTCTGAGGGAACACCTCACTGCCGTCATACCTCTGTACAGTCAGCAGTACGACTTCGCCTTCGGACCTTGAGGAACGGTTGTTCCAGCCAGTATAGCACGGTTGCTTCATCACGATAGGCAAGCCCGACCACCACGTCAAGGTAGCAACAACGGTAAACTTTAACAGATATTACGTTATACCATGATAATAAATATTTAGAATATACACTGAAGATATCTTCAGTCAAAGGCTTGGGGAATACCCTCCAGGAAAAGCACTGTTTTGGTCTGGTCGCCTGGAAAATAGCCCAGCCCACATACGCATGCGTCTAACCTC